ACGCTGAGGCGGAAGGATGGCCGGAGCCCAGCAGGTCGAGGCTGCGGTGGCCGGGAGTGGCCACTGCACTCCAGTCTGGGTGACAGAGTGAGACTCCAACTAAAAAATAAAATAAAATAAAAATAATTATATAGCAGGCAATCACACTGAGGTGGCTCTAGTGCCCTGAGTTTGTAGGTAAAAATACCAAAATCGAACTCAATTTATTTTTTTGTAAATTACTACCTGAGAGGGAAACGAAATTCTGGATTAACAAACCACGAGCTTTCAGTTAACTTCTGATTACGTAACCAGAAAAATTTCACCTGGACAGTCCAAATAAAGCGACTACAGAAATGTCACCAGGCAGGGCGCAGTGGCTCACGCCTATAATCCCAGCGCTTTGGGAGGCCGAGGTGAGAGGACTGCCGGAGCCTACGGGTTCGAGACTAGCCTGGGCGGCTTGACGAGACCGCATCTTTACAATAAATCCAAAAACTTCCCAGGTGTGGTGGCTCTTGCCTGTGGTTCCAGCTATTTGGAAAGCCGAGGCGGAACGAGCGCCTGAGCCCAGCGGGTCGAGGTTACGGTGGCCATGAGCATGCCACTGCACTCCAGCCTGGGCGACAGAGAGAGCCTCCAACTCAAAAAAAAGAAAAGACATGTCACCAACCAGTTACCGAATTTGGATCGCTTTGGCCTGCACTTCATAAAAGCCTTGACTTCAAACCCTTCCCACGGACCCCGAACCACAAGCCCTGGCCGGGTGCTGCAATTCACACACGGCTTCTGCGCGAATCGTCTTCAGCGTGTTCGGGACGACGCCCTTTAATTTTTAACGGGAGAAAAGAGGAAGCAGGGACTCACCGACCACGGCTCCACCCTTGCACAGCCCCGCACCGAGACGGGATACTCCCTCGACGACCCTCCCGTCGTCCCCGCACGCTCTGGGGGAGACGCGGCGCGGCGGGCGCAGAGCCGCCCAGAGGGCGCTGGGCCAGGCCCAGTCGCTGAGGGGACCGGACACATCCCCGGCATCCTGGCCCAGCCCCCCTCTGCGGCCGGAAGGGACCGAGGGCCGCGACGTCCGGCGGGGACGTGGGCCCGGACTCCAGAGCTGACCCGGGAGGCAGCGTTCCATCTACGGCTGGTTCCCACCAGCCCCTCCCCTCCTTCTGACACCCGGCCTTGTACACTCACCATTTCTCGACTTCCGGGGTGTCCCGGCGTCCTCCCCACGGATACCCCGGTTTCTGCACAGGTCATAGGGTGACAGAGGCTGTGGCAGAGCCACCTGAGCCTTCCACAGCCGAGAACACAGAGCAGCAGAGACCCACGCGCGTAGCGGCGGCAGCTGGAGACACAGGCCCCGCTAGATCCGGAAGCCGCCTCTTCCTCTTCCGCCGGTCGCTTGACTTGCAGCCCGCACGTCGGCGCTTTTGATTGGGTAAGGCTTCAGAGCCCCGCCCCTCGTTCCCTGAGTGACAGGAGATGAGATCGGACTGGACCTGAAAGAGAGGAGAAAGACTACTCTTGTCTGCCGCCTTACCTTGTTACATCTAAGGTTATGTTCATTTAAGAATGATATATGCGTTATTCACAAATGACAATAATAAAATTAGCTAGCTGTCACTGCATAACGAACTACCCCAAAAGTTACTAACGCATGATCGAGCTGGTTAGAAATTTAGGCTGACCTCAGGAAATGTGGGCTATTCTGGGGTCAGCTGGGCTCCCGGAGCTGTGTGGTCAACTGGTTGTTGACGGGTGGCTCTGCTTTTGAGGCGAGCTGGCTGTCAGCTAGGACAGTTTGTTCCTCCTCCCCATGTTGTGTATGTGTGTGCATATTTTTTTTTCTTTTTTGAGTGCTGTGGAGGAAAATGAAGCCGATTAGGCCAGCAACAATTGGATACGCTGGGTAAACTATTTTGAGGAAGAAAATCTCAGAACGATATTACAAAAATTGCAGAAAGCAACTAGCCAGCTAAAAAACATTTCCTGTTTGCTCTGCAGTCCACAAAGAAAGTAGTTAACAGCAGGTTCCTGATTCCTGACAAACAAACTATTACTGTTTAAAAATGTTTAAAGGCTGGGGCCCAGTGGCTCACGCCTATAATCCCAGCACTTTGGGAGGCCAAGGTGAGAGGATTGCCTGAGCCTATGGTTTCGAGACCAGCCTGAGCAACTCAACCAGACCTCATCTCTACAATAAATCAAAAAATTAGCCGGACATGGTGGCATGTGCCTGTAGTTCCAGCTACTTGGAAGGCTGAGGCAGAAAGATCGCCTGAGCCCAGCAGGTCGAGGCTACGGTGGCCGGGAGCAGGTCACTGCCCTCCAGCCTGGGTGGACAGAGTGAGACTCCTACTGAAAAAAAAAAAAGTTTGAAAGACAAAACCCTTCAATCAACCAGCTGCTTTACAAACCTCCAACTGACTCAAGAGCCGTTTACAATCAAGATCAAACATCAACTAATCAGAACTGCCTGTTTGCATGGCAGGAACCCAAATGCCTGAGGAGACTCCTGAAACTCACCCTTACAGAAAGAGCAGGACAAACTCCACTAGGAAGAACCTCAGACCACTACCTCTTTACAGGCAGCAATCACTCTCACTGCCCCTTGTGCCATTCACAATGTATCTTTCCTTTAATAAGTCTACTTTTCTTAATTTATAACTGTCTTCGTGAATACTTTCACCTCCATGAGTCGGGCCACCCATGGCAAGAGGGAGTCTCACTCTGTTACTCACACTGGAGTGCAGTGGCACACTCATGGCTACTGCCTCCTCAATCTGCTGGGCTCAGGTGATCCTTACATCTCAGCCTTCCAAGTAGCTGGCACTACAGGTGTGTGCCCCCATGCCTGGCTAATTTTTAAAATTTTTATTTTCTTTAATTTATAAGATCTCACCAAGTTGCCCAGGCTGGTCTCAAATCCCTGGACTTGGGCAATCCTCTCATCTCACTCCCAAAGTGCCAGGATTACACTCTCCATGGCATTTTATCCTTCACTAGGCTAACATGGGCATGTTTTTATGGCGATGGCAGGGTTCTGAAAGAAAAAGCAGAAGCATTTAGGAACTTTTAACCTAAGCCCAAAACTGGCACATGCTCATATTCCCACCTTTCTATTGGCCAGAGAAAACAAGGCCAGCCAGATCCAAGGTCTGAGAAACAGCTTCTGCCTTTCTGTGGGAACAGCTGTAAAAGCATATTGTCACTGGCATAGATACAGAAAGAGACACAAACAGATCCATCACCATGGCAACAGTTCCTGTGCAACAGTTCCCTTCATGATGATGTCGAACAGACCACCACCCAGTCACCTTAATGACCTACCCACACCAAAGGAAAGCCTTAAAAAGCATTCAACTTTGCTGGGCAAGGTGACTCGAGCCTATAATCCCAGCACTTTGGGAGATTGAGGCGAAAGGATTGCCTGAGACCAGAGGTTCAAGACCAGCCTGCGCAACTTGGCGAGACTCATCTCTACAGTAAACTTTTTTAAAAAATAAGGTGGGTGTGGTGGCGCACGCCTGTAGTTCCAGCTACTTGGAAGGCTGAAGCAGAAGGATTGCCTGAACCCAGCAGGTCAATGCTGGGGTGACCGTGAGCATGCACTCCAGCCTGAGTGATGGAGTGAGACTCAGACTCAAAAAAAAAAAAAGAACAAAATTATCCACTTAATCATTAATGTGCATGTGAATCATCTGGAAATATTAACTATCCAGATTTTGCTAACATGGGCCTTGGTTTTGCCTGAGAAGTTGCATTTCTAGCAAATTACCTATTCGTACAGCACATGGCAAGACAAAGTCTATTTTATCTAAAGTAAATAATATTTGATGAATAAAATTAAAATGGACCTAGCCGTGTGCAGTGGCTTATGCCTGTAATCTCAGCACTTTGGGAGGCAGAAGTGGCAGGATTGCCTGAACCCAGAGGTTTGAGACCAGCCTGGGCAATTTAGCGAGACCTCATCTCTACAGCAAATCAAAAAAATTACCCAGGCATGATGGTGCGTGCCTGTAGTTCCAGCTACTTGGAAGGCTGAGGCAGAAGGATCGCCTGAGCCCAGTAGTTCGAGGCAGTGGTGATCATGAGTGTGCCACTGCGCTCCAGTCTGGGTGACAGAATGAGACTCCAACTCAAAAAAAGAATTCAAATGGTCCTAAAATGAGAGAGCAAATCAAGTCACCTGGTCAATATGCTATCACACCTGGTTAACAATAACATACACTAACCAAAAATTTCATAATACTTGTAATAACCCAAATTAGCAAAATCTCTATTGTGGTTTCCATAGACATTCACCCTCAGAGTAAAAAAAAAATTATCTGGGCTTGGTGGCTCAGCCTGTAATCCCGCGCCCTGGGAGGCTGCGGTGAGTGGATTGCCTGAGCAGGTTGAAGACCCGCCTGGGCAACTTGGCGAGATCTCATCTCTACAATAAATCAAAAA